TCTGCATATGATTTATATTGTTTTAAAACTGAAAATTAAGAAGTAACATGCTTTTATAAGATGTGATTTTTATTGATCAAATATTATTTTTATACAGTCAGAAATCAAACTTATATAAAGTTAGCTTATACGATAAACTAGCATAGTTAGAATATATATTCATTCTAAATTTGTAAAATAAAAGACAAAAATATAACCTTAAAGACAAAAGAAATTCTTATAAAAAAAAGGAATTTTTGGTACTTTGAATAAATAAAAACAAGAAAAGATAACCTACATAAAATATATTAGAATTTGACATGAAATGAATTCTTCAACTATATATATTAAATACAAAATTCTTTATTATACGAGGATATTTTTAAATAATTTTTTTGAATGAAAAATTTTTTTAGAAATTTTTTTAACTTCTATTTAATTCAATTTTTATTTAGTATAATTATTTATAAATTAAATTTAATATTTTAAAATAAATTACCGATAAATAAAATAATTTTATATTGTAATATAAATTATTTATTATAAACTTAAAATATAATTTATCTTTTTTTTACTGCAATAATACGTTTATATGCTTAAAAATATTTATTTATATACAAGTTTTAAATATAATTTATATATTCAAATATAGTACTTATTTATATATATAATTATTATAAATTTTAATTATATATAATAAATATTTAACATGTATATTATATATGTTAAAATATTACTCTTTTAAAATAATTTGATTGATTAATTTGAATTATAAGCTTATTGGATTAATTAAATTGATATGATAAACACTTGTATCTAGAAAGGTTAGGAAATTTCTTGTGTATTTTTAATAATATTTCTTCGATCTAATTAAAGAAAAAAGTTAGGGATAGAGACTGAGAGATACATAAAGGGACATTAATTTTAATTCATTGGTTTATGCTTAAGCTTGTGGAATAATAGTCATCAATTTCTCAACTGAGTGAACCGTATGCAGGCTTGATGAGCAACCAAATACTTAAACAATTTTCTTGATAATTAAAAGATGCATTATTCGGCTAGTCGAAACATTTCCATGCCAAAATACTAACTCTATGACCTTGGATAAAACAAAACACAATCGTCGAAGAACTATAAGATATGCTCTTTGAAAAGAATAATCCTTATGGTTGGTTTTATCCATAGAGGTCCTTTGTCTATGTCAATTAGCAACCAAATGAATTAATAATTTAAGAATTCTGAACAATAGGGAAACAGAAATTCTGAGGAACGGCATTGTAACTAAGGTTTACATTAATGAAGAAATGTGTGAGATATAACTGATATAAATATGGCAAGCTTGTCTTTATGTTGATGTAAGTACGCATGCTTCATCAAATGTATCGATCTCTCTATCGATAATTTCAACCAAGTCACATTAAGCGTGTAGGAGCAGCAGAAACATAAACAAAAGACAAAAGATAACTTTTCTATGTGGGATTATGACTGCTTCAGGCACTTATATATATTATAAAATTAAATTCCCTTTATTAAAAAATCCAATATTGATAGCTAGCTAGTAATTAACATTTCTAATCCTAAATTATATATATATATATATATAATCATGTTTTTAATATGAAATACCTATAATTTTGTCAATGATAAATTTATATTGAAGAACTTGAGTAATTATTTTTAATAGAATATTTTTTTAAAAATATTTTTTTCTTCATAAAAAGGTTTTTTGTGAACTAGGTCCTAAGGGCTTGTCAGGCAAGGACAAGCCTCAAGGTCTTGGAAGCACTTATAGTGATACTTATAAATTATCAATCAACAAAATTCTCATATTTATAAAATTTAAATTCACATTCTTTTGAAATACGAATATATTTCTTATCAATTGAATCAACCTTAGTTGACAAAAAATGAACTAAATCAAACCATAAAATTAATGGAGAAACAGCAACACAATAACAATACAGAGCAAACTTAAACAGTTATTGCAACGGAAATAAATTCTCTAAACTTGCAAGAATTTGTGAGGAGCAACAACCAATGAACAACAATAATAAATCATCAAAATCACATACAAAGACACCAAGATTTTTAACATGGAAAACCCCTCAAAGCAAGGGTAAAAATCACGGTTAAAGAAATAGCTCCATTATGATTAACAAAGAGTACAAAAGAGTCTTAATCAAGAGCACAAAATAGTACTAACACCCAGCCAAACAATAAAGCAATTAAGCTTACAAATAGAAAAAAATAAAGATGAAAAACCCCAAATACATAGCTACAGTGCGAACTGAATATCTCCCTACTCAGACCTCGTTTCAACAATCCAAACGATCAGAATGAAGAACCGGATGTCACGAACCTGTTGTCCAATTTTCAGCTCGATCCAACAACGAACGAATATGCGGTATCGATTTTACTGTCGCAGCCCTGTGTAAAAACGAGAATGACTTTCTCTCTTCCTCTCTTTCAAAGTGTTGGTGTTCAAAGTGACTTCTGACTTTCCCTCTTTCTCACTCTTTTTGACTCATGTGCTACAGACCCTCTCTCCACTTAGTTAAGTGAGACATTAAATGTGTTTCTCAATTTTGGGCATTTTCTCCACATAGAAAGCGAGCTCAATACCCAACAAAAATATCAGTTTAGTTTGATTTGAATTTCATAATTCATTTAAACTGTATTTAATTTTTTTGTTTGATTTAAATGATTTTTAAGATAAAAGCAGAAACAAATTACATGCCGACCACCCCTCCCACACACCCGTTTGCAACCCCAACCCCCCACTCTAGCACACCTCTTCTCTCCTCCACTCGCCCTCGTGTTGCACAACCTCCATCCCCCCATCTCCAGATTTGGGGTTACTATGTTTACTCAAAACAAAAAAAGAAAAACAAAAAAAACGTGGGTGTTACACCCATAAGTGTGATATGATTAACACACCTTTAACATATTTCAAAGGTTTTTTTTTTTTTTCTTTGTAAAAGTTTGTTTCACTGCTCCTATATATTATGCTTTATTAGTTTAGGATTTGGTTCATAATGGTGCATTAGCATTCACTATTTTAACCTAGGACATTTTATTCTTCAAATTGTCTCAGATTTACTAATTATTTATAAAAAAAATGTGGTGGATTGTTAGATATGTTATGTATTTAAAGTTTTTACAGGAAACATATTACATCATTTGCATCAACTGTAATAGAAATAATTTTATTTTAATCATAAAAAATATTATCTTATTTATAAAATTCTATTTTGATAAATTTTGACTTGGTCAAATATCTACTATGAATTAAACATTTTTCCTCCATATGCAGTTAACAGATTTGCATTTCTACATGCAGTTCTGTCACACAAAATTTTATTGTATACTAAATGATTTTCAAATTATTAAAATTTAACATTATGAAATGAATAAATCCTTGAAAACGAGGTATTATCACATTCACATCTATCGTGAGATTTTTTTTTTTTAACCTTTTGTTTATAGTTAATACTCGGTTTTTGTTTTCAATACCAATAAGTATCATCTATCTATAACACAAGGACTAATTCATGTTGAGAGTTTAATAGATATTGAATAAAAAGACATTTTTCGAGTGGGATTTTCTGCCTACTCAAATGTTAGAATTCGAATCCACTTGATTAATAAATAACAAGATTTTATTACTCACCTTAACTCAAGTTGGTCTCAGATTATATTTATATACACGTGCGTTCAAGTCTAGGTGTATATGCTCATTTAAAGTATATGGTAATAAATTTATGCCTTAATTAAAGTATAGAATATTAAGGAGGTGATGGACGATCATAGTTACTGTCGCTATGGCATGAAAGCAAAATTGATGAAGCTAGTTTAACTCGTCAGCGACCCACTTTTGTGTCTTTATTACTGACTATTACTTTATCCATCTTTTGTTTGAAGATAGTATTTATTTGGCTCCTTTCCTTTTGGGTCAAATGACAAGCATAGAGTCGGCTTTCATAATAGTCATTTATTGTCTCTTCTGTAAAAACAAAACTTCGAGATTAATTAATTCTAACATCAAGGCTGCAGCTAATTAACTATATATCTGAGGAAGCTCAGAGTATTGTCCTTTGTCATGCACAAATGATATAAAAGGAACTATTTTTCAAAGTAAAATAAACAGCCTGAAAAATGCCTCTAAGCCGAGAAAAAGAGAGAAAGAGAGAGAAATATAGGAATGTCCGGTTCTTACTACCTTTGTTAGTAGCGTGTATTTTTCCTACATGTATTCTTTTCAAAAATAATTATACCATATTTAAAACATGGTCGAATAAATATTGACATCTCTATGTAGAAATTCAAACATAAGTTAACTACAGACTAATCTCTTATTTACACCTAACTCTCCGATAATCTATAACATATACTAAAGGAGATTATTTCATTTAATATATATATTTTTTAAATAATTTTATTTTTAATTAATAAAAATAATATTAAAAATTAATCATTTTTATGAATGTAAAATTTGAATTCATAATTTTTAAATTTAAAGATTAAATACAATACTAATTAATTTATCAAATATTGATAATTTTTAAATATTTTTATTAAATAAAATATAAAGATACGAAATATTTCAAATCTATTATTATGTTATATTTTTCCCCCTCCCCCTAATTTATAATTTGAATATGGTGTTTTATATTTTTCAATTTTTATCTTTAATTGATTAATTTCTTTTTTATATTCTGTTCTTTTTTTACTCACTTTTCATTTCAAATAAGTGTTTCTTCTTTTCATGTAACATTTATGTTTTTTATTTTCATATATAATAATTGTTTTAATTTTTAAATAAATTACTCCTATATTGATTTCAGGTCTTAGATCTGCCACTAATTTTAAAGTTTGTATTTGAATTTAAAAAAGGAATATTTTACTTGAAAAGTAAGAATTATATACAAGTAAAACGTAGAGAGAAATGTAAGAGATAGAAGGAGAAAAAAAAAGTTGTTATTTAGGATATTACCATAATACCAAGAAGCTAGGGGCATTTACCTAGTAGTTGTCTTCATATGGGCATTATATATAGGACAGTATTGTATAAGGCCAAAGAAACACCAGCTTCCAATATTAGTATCATGGCAGCAAAAGCTTTTCAATTCCTCAACTGAAACCAAGGATAACTCCCTGGTTTTTGTCTTTCTCTGTTGGGAAACCACCTTAATTTCCTTCTTTAGAATTCGTTACAAAACCAAGCCACACCTTTATCGTAAGGTCCAGGGAAGCTTCTATTAATTAACCCTTTCATCTTTTTGTTCAAATGACAAATATTTCAGGTGATGAAGGAAGTTTGTCCTCAGCAAACACTGTGGAAGAAGTTCACCAAGAAAACAAGCAGCAACAACCACAAAACCACCCTCATGGCTCAGCTTCTGGTGTTTGCAACAGCAATAGTTCCACCAACCAACAACAACAACAGGCAACCAAGAAGAAAAGAAACCTACCTGGAACCCCAGGCAAATATTATTCAACCCTCGGCTTCAGTTTTTCCCTTCCAAATTTAATTTAATTATAACCCCGAAATATTTGGATTTCAATTATGCTTGAATTGGTTTTAATATAGTAAAGCATACTGCCAAATTAATACTAAATTCTATATTCCTGATGGTGTGATTAAGGAATCTAAAACTTAAAGAGGTTCAAGTGCTTTTGACAAGTTCAAGTTCAACTTTGCCTTGAAATAGTAATATTGGTGCATACTAGTTAGTAGTTGTGCTGTACCGGTCAAACTCTAGGTGCTAGACTGCTAGCTAGGTAGTCGTAGCAAACTTAAACGTTGAATTATAGTTGGGCAGAAGGTTTGGTTGCTGTGTATTATTACTGATAATTTTAGTAGTGTGAAAAACTGTATTATTCTTTGTTTATATATACTGCTGGGACCTATTTAAGCAACTAAGAAGTTAATAGTAAATTTCCTTGTTCCAATTATACGCATTATCTCATCACTTGCTCAGTCTTTCATGATTTTAGAACTTGGATTAATCCAAAAGATAGTAATTAAGATTGCGCCAATGATTAAACTAAAGGAAAAAATAACATATCAAAAACATAAGAAAAAATATTTTTGAATCACTAACAAAGCAGGTACCCTGAGTGCAGACTTTGTTTAATTAGTGACCAACACAATAAATTAATAACATGTTTGATGGTTAGGAATGTTATCTATTTTGGAAAAGTCGTGGTCATGGGTGAATTTTATGCAACAGATCCGAATGCTGAAGTTATTGCTTTATCACCAACCACATTAATGGCAACAAATAGATTCGTGTGTGAGATCTGCAACAAAGGGTTTCAGAGGGACCAAAACCTTCAGTTGCACCGTAGAGGTCACAATCTTCCATGGAAACTGAGGCAGAGAGGAAGCAATGACGTGAAGAAAAGGGTTTATGTGTGTCCTGAGCCATCATGCGTCCACCATAACCCAGCTCGTGCATTAGGAGACCTCACTGGCATAAAAAAACATTACAGCAGAAAACATGGCGAAAAGAAGTGGAAATGTGACAAGTGCTCTAAAAGATATGCAGTCCAATCTGATTGGAAGGCCCACCAGAAAACCTGTGGAACCAGGGAATACAAATGTGATTGTGGGACCATATTTTCAAGGTACCCATTAATATTATTATTAGTAACACCAACCTAAACCATTTTTTTGTTTAAATTTTACTTACAAATATGTATGCATGATTATTTGGGGTCCAAAAGGCAACACATAAGACTCATTTTCGGAATGAAATATTAGATAGTTCTAAAACTATGTGATGTTTGACTAATCCTATATAACTTGTAATAAAATTTTATTATAATTTTTTTCGTAAGGAAAAAAACTTAAATGCATGTCATTGTAATTAGTTGGGATGATAAACACTTAATAATTCTAACCATCTAATAATTTCGTTTTTTACGGGGTTAGATATTAATAATGCTAATTTATTTCGTTCATAATGTGTACACCAGCGGCATATATTGACATTGCTTGTTGCAGAGAAACAGGAAAAAGTGTTGTCACGTCTCATATATATTTCATTAGATCATGTTTCATAGTAGTTTGTGCTCATAAATAAAACACATGCTGGATTTGACAGATAACATTTACTCCCCATTATTATTCATGGAGTGTGGTCCATTCTTTCCTATAAGTCTTGCTTCTTAAGTCTATCAGCGTCTCTCAAATTGTGGAGTTGTTTATATAGCTTATTTTTGTGGTCCTATGATGTCATATGGAATTTAAGACCTTTATAACAAGCCTTTTTTTTTTTTAATGGTGCAAATCGAAGAACTTAAAATGGATTCTACAATTGTGTTATTAAGAACTTTATGTTAAGAACCTTCTTATATAAGAACTGCCATGTTGATTCTACAATTGTGTTATGAACTCATAGGATATGCTCTAAATAATATTGAATTTTGAGTAATACTATCAAAACACAGCTGTTACATTCGCAATTCTACAAACACATATGACAACATTGAGTTGATGTGTTCTACTTTTTTCGTATTAAATTTAGGTGGAGCCATAACTTAAGATCATAACGTTACATTGAAACCATTTGTCTTTTATACTTGTCTTATATCTTATATTTGAAAGAGACATAAAAAAAAAAATAAAAAAAAAAGCTTCTTATCTAAATGGTGATCGAGATTCTGTCTCTTAACTGTTTGATAGTTTTAAAGTTCCACTGTACATGCCATCTTCAAGTCATGCATTCATCTGAATCTTGCAGAAGAGACAGTTTTATCACACACAGAGCCTTTTGTGACGCATTAACCGAAGAAAACAACCGAGTGAGCCAGGGATTAACGCCAAACATGCAAAATGAATTGGCGCGGGACCTTATGGCCACAATGCCTCTAAGCACAAGTTCCAACACCGTACCACAGAAAACCCTATCCCAAGAACATGTCCCTATGCCATTCAAGTCCATGAGCATGGGTGGTGGCATGCTCTCCACCACCTCAGGTACACTCTTTGGTGGTCCAAAAAACATGTCTCCCTCTTGTTCCACCCTTCAACTCAGCTCCAACAACTCCACTGCTTTCAATTACTTCCAAGACAGCACAATCTCTTCTGCTTCAGCTCACATGTCTGCAACAGCTTTACTACAGAAAGCAGCACAAATGGGTGCCACTGCAAGCAGCAACAGCATTAACTCCCCCATGATGCAGAAAAGCTTTGTTAGTAGCATGGCTTGTTCTGACCACCTCCATAACTCTTCTTCCTATGACCCCTTTCATCAATCTCACATGGCTGGGATTAGTGGTGCTGGAGCCTTCACCAACCAAATTTTCCATAAGGGGCAACAAGATCATATGCCACTCATATTTGATGCTAACAACACCACTATGGGAATGCTTGGCACAATGTTCATGGGAAGTGACCACAACCAAGGCTTGATGAATAACATGGAACAAGGGCTTGATGTGGCAGAAGGAAATCCAATTAGGGCATCAAAGTTTGGAGGTGGTGACGACATGACAACGGTTCATGACTTCTTGGGCGTTGGTGCAACTTCAAGGGCAGCGAGTTTGCATGAACCACAGAGGTTGCGAATCATGAATCACTTTCACCTTCCACATGGGGATTCAGCTATGGAGAAATCCATTTGGGACATTTGAGAACTGACACAAACCATGTTTGATTCAGTTTAGACTAGAAGAAAAGAGAATGTTTTCCTTTAAATGAGATTTTGAACTTTGTAACATAATGTCTGGTGAGTGGTAACAGACTCCTCAGCTAGTTAATCTCAGTAACGTGCCTATCTTTCAAATCAAGAGTATATGTTCAAACACAAACTGGTGAACTGATTTCAATGCGAGGAAATGTGTTTTAAAACCACGCCTAACCAGATGATTCAACCATTGAATGATAAACTATGTATGTTGTTGGTTTAAATATTATCTGCTTCAATTATATTCTAACAATGTAGTAACCAATCCATGCATCAATTAATTCATGACTAAAACACTTGCCTGAAGTGTTTTGTATATGAATTTAATTACGTCTGTGTCTTAGCTGTTAGTTAACACCGTTAAACAATATTGTTATAAAAAAAATTGTGATATAAAATTGATGTAAAACTGTAAAAAAAAATAAGAATATGCAATACTTTCTGTAACAAATTTACACTCTCAAAAAGTTTTTGTAGCAATTTTACACTTCAGGAAGTCTTTGTATTAATAGCATTAACAATATACAGCACCAACAGCCACGTCATAAATAGTGTTAAAGGGAGAATCAAAACTTAATTGTTTTATCTATGTATAAATTAAAATTTATAATTTTCTCTTGTAAAGACTAAAACTTAAATTTGAGACAAAGGACTAATGAATATTCAGTTAGGAATAATACCTCTAGACGTGCCAATCTTGTAGGAAGAAATTATACTTTTTTATTAAAATAAATTAATGAATATTGAGTAAACATTCTATATAGTAAAATATTTAAATTAACGGCGTATTCTAGAAAAATTTATAGAGGATAAAAATTAAAAAAAAATGGAATTAGGTTCTTCGTTAGCTAAGCTTATGTATGAGTTAAAAATAAGATTTTTGAAAAAAATTATAATAAGAGAAATTTGCTACAAATTAATTTATGCATAAGTTAATTTTAACTTATGATAAAATTTATTTCTTTTTTATTCTTAAAATGATAGATAGAGGATGATGTTAGAGTTATATTGTGTACTTAATTTGTCTTTGAGGGAATATATTTATATCAAGAGAAGAATATTATATCTTGTTATTTTTATTGCTTGCACACACAATTTCACAATGGTTGGATATTATATTTTTCTTTTTTACTAACTCTTATTTTTTCTCTTGTTCCAATAATGTGAAACCTTATTTGTATCCAATAATCCTCCTCTATCTTACATATTGTCTACTTTGAGTTTATACTTTCATATAGTTTTATTTTTGTTTATCACTCAAAAGGTATTTCAACTAATAGAGTATATATGTGTTTTATAAACTTTTATTTCTTCTCTTGTTCTAACAATATGAGACTTTATTTGTATTCCAACAGATGATACTCCCATGACTACCAAGCAGGGAGCCAAATAGCCAATGACATGCATGTTGCGATTCTTAAACTAAACACTATTGTGAACTTAGCGGTTAGCAAAATCTTAGTAGTATCCAATTTGATTCAAGACTTGTTGAACTAAAGGCTAGCAAAGGCTCACCAGAGGGATTTCATCTCTAGGGTGTCGAACTTGCATCGTATAGAACACAAGTTTGGTTTGGATCCTCAATCACTTGAACCAACTACATTTTTTCTTCTATTTTTCCCTTTATAAATGTTTTTTTTAGAGAAGTTTATCTAAACATATTTTATAACTTAAAATAGAGAAACATCACTTTTCATAATAATACGTTTAAATTAAAAATATTTAATTTTAAAAATATTAATAGTTCTTAAAATATTAATACTGATCTGAATTTAATATTAATATATATTATGTTTGAATATATTTTTAGTTCTTATAAAATTAGCTAATTATAATTTCGGTCCTTGTAAAAAAAATTTTTGTTTTCCATCTTTCTAAAATTTGTAAACAATTGTTTTTAGTCATTGTAAAACATTGTTTATCCTTGTAAAATGAGTAAATTTTAGTTTTAATCCCTATAAATTATTATTATTACTATTATTATTATTATTATTATCATCATCATCATCATCATCCTAGCAAAATTTAAAACCACTATTTATGATTCTTAATGATGATTTAAAGATATATAAATAACTTATTTTAAGGACCTATAAAAATACTTAGGAGTATCACACACTAACTATTGTGAGAAACACTTAAAAATGTCACTTTTATGTTTAATGAATAAATAAGTAATTAAAAATAATTATATAATAATAAGAACTAAAAATAATATTTTTAAATTTTAAAGGGGTCAAAAACAGAAAAAAAAAATTATAAGAACCAAAATCAAAACTTGTCTATTTTGTAAGGACTATAAACATATTTAAACTTATATATTAAATATCTCTAAAACTTAATAGGATATTGAAAAAATAATTACCGTTTTAAATATATATATATATATATATATATATATATATTTTTTTTTTTTTTTTTTTTTTTTTTACTAAAAACAA